TCAGCAGCAGAGGTGAGGGTTTGGGGTGCTCGATGCCTCCGGAAGCCCGAGACCTCCTGAAGCTCCCGGAAAAGCCTGCTGGTACAGCCTGGAGGGCGATCACCATCCGGCAAGACGGGCTTCTCCAGGGTCTCCCACTGGCGTCTCCTCTTTTGGCTGCGCCCCCCAAACCAAGCACGGCATGGAGGTCACCGCGGGACCCGCGTGGGAACAGAGGGTTGACGCAGGAAGTGGGGCCGATCCCGGGCCCCCAAAATCAACTCGACCTTCTTTCGGGCTGTAGGGCCCTCCTTGCTGCTCTGCAATCTGGGATCCTTCCATGCCGTGAGCTGGGTCTGAATGAGCCGGGAGAACTTGGGACTCCGCGGCCACCACTAGCACAAGTAGGGTTTACGTATCTAAGTACGATGTTTTTCTGTTCTTGTTTTTGTTTTTGTTTTGAAATTGCTGTTTTTGAAGGTCACAAGTGGTTGCATATCGGCAGTTTCAGGATCCAACCTAATCGGAAAAGGCAAACGCTTCTAGCAGGTTCCATGGCGAGGTGAGAGCAAGGTGAGCTGGACCTTAGCCCCACCGACCCTTCTGCCCTGCGGAACCCCCCTTCTTGTTTACTGATTGGGGGCTCAGCTCTGAGAAGGGACAGCAGAGTGAGGCAGGTGGTGGAAGCAGGTGGACCACCGCGGGTGTTGCAGGCACCGAATCGGGAGGGTCCGGACGTTCTCGTTCTTGCTTGGCCTGCGGCGATTACAGACCCTTTAGAGCACAGGGTGAGGCAGCTGTAAGAACTAGGTGTCTGGGGATTAGAGGAAACCAGGCAGCAGAGGGGGAGTGATATCAAATAAACTCTACTCCTGTTCCTTTCGGGTCTTAGCTGAACAGCGGCGAGAAACTTTGAGCCTAGAAGGATGGCATTGTTTGATAGCCGGCAGTCAGGGACACCGGTAAAAAGCCTCTTGTGTCTGGTAAACCTCAAGAATTTCAACCTAAATTGGGGGGGGGTCTTAAACATCACCTCCCCCCCCCCAGCTGCACTGCAAACAGCCCAAGTATGGGAGCCTCTCTTCCCCAGAGTCACCACAAAGCCTCATTTGACATGCCGTCCCATAAACACACACCAGAGGGCAGTGTAATCCAGGACATGGGAAATAAAATGTGATGGGAGATTCTCTACCGATGCCTTCAGGCGGAGGCATCACAAGCCTCCTACAAAGCGGGCGCTGGGGAAATGGGTGTTGAGTGGATTACTGATGCACCATCGTCTTTGAAAACCTTCCGTGGTAGGCAGAGGGGGCCTGGCACAGATGGACGAGAGGGAGAATTACTACCTCAGAACCTGTTACCACCAGCAGCTCCCAAATGCTCAAAGGGCTGCACCACCAGTTCAGGTCAGGAAACAGTTACCAAGCACCTCCTATGTGCCAGGCACTGTGCTAAGGGCAGGGATTCAAAGGTGAGTAAAACCCAGTCCCTTCCCCAGTTGAGCGCCTATGATTTGCTAATCTCTTTACATTCATTATCCCATTTAACTCTTACAATGGTAAAGTGTTGTAAGAATCATCCCCATTTTACAGATGATGAAAAACAGGCTCAGAGGGGTAAAGTACTAGTCCCATTAGTAACTGGCAAAGATGGGGTTTAAACCAGCTCTCTCGAGATTCAGAGCCAGGGCCCTCATTACTGTGAGCATTCTTTTTTTTTTTTTTTTTTTTTTTTTTTTGGGGTATAATTCCATACAAATTTTAAGATGATTTGTTCTAGTTCCGTAAAAAATGCCATTGGTAATTTGATAGGGATTGCATTGAATCTGTAGATTGCTTTGTGTAGTATAGTCATTTTCACAATATTGATTCTTCCAATCCACGAACATGGTATATCTCTCCATCTGTTGGTATCATCTTTAATTTCTTTCATCAGTGTCCTAT